ACACTTCAGGTGAATATGTAATCGAACATGATATAAGATATAAATTCGGGAATAGAATAAACGAGCCCGTACAATTTTTTACTATTTGAAAAATGGTCTCCGAATTCCAGATAGCATGGTAACCTTATTTCGGATATCATCAATTAGAGCCATGAAGAATTAGGCACCAATATAGAAGTTGACGCTGGAACCTGATCTGTGGACATACGTGGAAGAAATAATAGCAGATACGAAATCTTTAGTCATGATGTGTGTTGGGGAAATCAGTAGTCCAATCGAAACAAATTGCAAATTATGCAATTCACTCATAACTGCGCATATCCGAAATTGAAAACTCTTAAGTTTTTGAAATTAGGAATCATTATTTGATCATCTAGAAGAAGTTTTCGAAAATATTCTAACACACAAGAAAGGTCGAAACAGGCTGGTCATAACAGATATATGTACACTACGCACTATTTCACCACTAACCAAACAGATTTTTACGCCTCGGCACGTGTTTTCTGAGTATGCTTGGTGGACTGTATAAGAAGGAATCAAATTGGAAATTACCCACAATTCACAACCTTTTTTCGGCAGGCTCTACTAGCGCCAGCGTATGGGCAGGTGCTTCCGCTCTGAACTCTGCTTGCTTTCAGCTATTCTTTGGAGGCGAATCAGCACTTGTTCTCGATGAAAGAAGATTGATATCGAGAATGATAATTTTTGATGACACTGACACTCAACTCAACAACCCAATGGCATGAAAATATTCATCGTCGTCTCATCGCTATTGCCGGGAATGATATAAAGGGGGCAAACATGTAACTGATATTTCACGAAATGATCAATGAAGAAATAATAATGAATGATAATAATTTATGCATCTCTAGAAATCGAACAGAACACGCGAATCCCAAACAAGCATCTTAGGGAGAAGAAGTTTCAATCTTCTACTGAGATGCTAGCATAATTAGCCGAATATATGCCAAGGCATAAAAAATCGGTTTGGTTAGTAGTAAAACAGTGCGTAGCGTATTATCGTGCGGAAGGATCCAATCTTCGATGTAACAGAGATATGTGGTTCGAAATGGAACCCCCAAATCCGCATTGTTCGTTTCGTCTTTGAAATACTACACTGAACATTGAGAACTTTCTCCATCACGCCATTCTGGTTCATATGAAGCAATAATATGATGGATTTTTTTCTGCAAGTCAGACGATGTTATTCACGTTGTGTATACGTCGTAGATTTTCATCATGTTGAAACGTGTCTATGGACAAATTAGGTGTTCAAATACTTACTTTAATTAATATTATTATTTTCAATTGCATTTCCTTGGAAGTCCTCGCACTATAAGTCGAATATAGGGCGATGTTAGGAATGCATACGTGCACAAACATCCACGGCCTGCGGGCCTGGAATCCATGTCCCGCTGAAAGTTTCCATACGAACTCACCAGACTTGAAAAGTAATGATAATTAGAATAATAATAATAATAATGAGCCTCAGCCTATGATAATTGAGTGCTGAACTCTATAGGTGGCAACATTATTCCGTATCTGATCTTAGTTGATCATCAGAAGTGGTTGTGGTAAAAGTTAAACTTTTTGCACGGGATGAAAGCTGGTTTTTTGTGAAGCAGATTTGGCGATGAATCTGCCATAACTTCTCCATGACAAGGTATTGCTGATGAAAATACCAAGCATAGTTATAGAGGACCTGGTAGGAAAGGTGTGGTATTAGACATTGAAATAATAATAATAATAATAATAATAGGTCTTTATTTCCCATAACAAGTACAACAAAAGAAAAAAAAAGACAAGGATAATAACAAAATATACAGGTATGGGAAAACGCCGAAGATCAGGTGGCCAGTGTAGCATGTACACAGCACACAGTACACAGACCTCTGTTATTATTCTTGAGCGAAGAAAATAAATATAAATTCTTGAGTCATACATACATACATTACTTACAATTATTATTTTTAATCCAAGAGAAAACAAATTGAATCTTATTCACAATACCTATAATTAGTAATGTTTTTTTTTTCATTTTTTTTTTGTCATTCAGGAGGTATTTTTTCATTTTTTTTTTTAAATGAACTTCACTGAAAGACTTCATGTTTTGGGGAATCGAGTTATATATTCGCGAGACTTGATAGGTGAATGACCGTCGAAAAATAGTGGTCCTGTGTATAGGGGGCGTTATGGTTCCTTTGAACCGAATGTTAATATTATGCACGTCTTCCCGAAATGATATTTTTTTCATTAGATATGGAGGTGTTTTCAAAACAATGATTCTGTGAAATAGACAAGCTGAATGAAGAAATCTTCTGTTGATCATATTGAGCCAATTTTGTTCCTTCAATTTATGGGATATATTCTCTCGCCTTCTGATGCCATGTATAAGTCGGAGACAGGAATTTTGCATAACTTGTATGCGGCGGATATCTTCAGAGTCAATGCTTGGTCCATAAATTGAATCACAATAATTGAAACGGGATAATATTAATGCCTCACAGAGGATAGATTTTACTTTTTTGTTCAAGAAATGCCTATTATTATAATTTTTTTTCAAATTTGCGAAACCTGCTTGACGGATATGACAAATGTGAGATTTATATCTGAGTTCATCATCCATTATCAGTCCTAAATTTCTAGCTTTTTTTGTTGGCGTCACTTCCCCATTGCCCACAAGTATTCGCACATTATCCGCCAATAGTTTCTTCTGGGATTTTGAACCAAAAACCATTACTGTTGTTTTATCTGCATTCACGTTTAAACAATGATCTTCAGATTTGCCAACCAGTCTAGAGATGTCACTGTTAATATTATCAAGTGCCACTTCAAGATCTTGAGGAAGAAACGAATAGTGTAACTGAGTATCATCAGCATAAAAATTGATCTTGCAATGGCTGACTACATTCTCAAAATCGAAAGTATAGAGAGCAAATAATAGTGGGCCCAATATTGATCCCTGAGGTACACCAGTAGATATCTTAAGGGGGCTTGATAGCTTCTCGTCTATTTTGACACTTTGACTCCTGTTCGAGAGATAGCACTTAAAAAAATTAACTGTTTCAGAAGATAAACCCATGTATTTTAATTTCATTAATAAAAATGTATGATCCAGAGTGTCAAAGGCTTTGGAATAATCTAAAAGAACTAGTATGGTAGCTTGTTTCTTATCAATCCCCCTCAGAATATCATCTGTGATCGACAGTAAAGTGGTTTCACAGCTATGGTGTTTTCGAAAACCAGATTGCACGTCAGGAAATATGCTGTAACGGGAAACATATTCTCGTAATTGAATATCTATTTGCCTTTCAAGTACTTTCGAAAGTGTTGATAGGATACTTACAGGGCGAAGATCTTTCAATTCTGTGACCAAGCTTTTTTTTGGGAGTGGTTGGACTAGGGCATATTTCCAGTCATGTGGAAAATCATTATTTAAAATACAGAAATTTATGATATGAGCAATGAAGGGCAGAATATATGGACAACACATAGTAATAACTTCAAATTTATTCCATCAGATCCCTGTGCATTTGATTTCAAGTTGTATAGAGACTTCTGGATACAATCCTGTGAAACTGCGTGAAATTGAAATTCATCACCTGTGTTACCCAAAGTATTTTCGCGATAGAAATCAATTGCACTTTGATCAGCTGAGGCTTTGGCAAACCCGTTAACAAAAAAATCATTGATTGCACTCACATCCGAGAAGTTATGTGGTATCGTCAATTTCTTTTTACGAATATCCAAGTGATCCAAATTTTTCCACATTTCATCAACACCTTGAGTTCGCATGATATATTGGTAATAGGCTTTCTTTTCATTACGGCATGCCAAAGTTGTGAAATTTCTGAGCATTTTATAATAGTCATGATGCGGCTGTAATTTACTTTTTTTCCATCTTTTCTGAGCATTATCTCGCAATGACATAAGTAACTTAATATTTTCCGTAATCCAAGGAGCATATTTTTTTGTTATTCTGATACGCCTCATGGGTGCATGAGCGTTGTAAACGGAAAGAATATTTTCATTAAAAAAACTCAATTTATCATTAATATTATCCATTGTTAGAATTGCTTGGAAGTCTACCTGTTTGAGTTCAGTTTGAAATCTATCATTATCGAATGTTCTAAAGTCCCGTATATATTTGTAAAATGGAGTATGCAACTGTGAACTGATACTTAACTCAACATAAATAAATTCATGATCTGAAATATGATTAACGGACACAACCTCTGTATTTTTTACATTATTTACATTGTTTGAAGTTATTATCAAGTCAATGAGTGAAATAGATGAGATAGTTATTCTCGTAGGTGATTGAATAATTTGTGTTAGGCCTAACCCCTCAAACATATTACTCATTTTGTCATGAATAGTGGTATTAGTTTTCAACATATCAATATTGAAGTCCCCCAGAATGAAAATATCATCAAAAAGAGGAAGCAAATTCGATATTTCATTCTCTAGTTTACTTATGAATTCGTGCGATGAATAGTTGGGGCGCTTATACACAACACCTACTGCTATATTTCGCTTATCAATTTTCACACTTACCCAGAGTTGTTCAATATTTTCATTTGTCGGAACGACTGTGAATCTCAAATGGTTCTGAACATATATGCAGACACCTCCTCCCCTACCAACTGATCGGTCATTTCTGACTATTCTATACCCATCTATTTCACAGAGATCATTGTCAATATTATCTGATAGCCATGTTTCACTAAGACAAAAAATTGAGATATTATAATGTGAAGCAAGTTCTTCCACATTGGATAATTTCGGTAATAAAGATCTTAAGTTCAAATGACCTATTTTAGACATTTCTAATATTATCTATTCTATGTCTTCACTTATTCTAAATTTTTCCTACAAGGTAATAAATCGAATATAAATGTTGAACAACTTGGAGAAAGTGAAAAGGTACTAGTAAAAATAATCTTTACCATATGAAGAGAGTACTAATATTCTAAAAAAGTTTACAACGATACAAATATTCAAATTTTGTTCACAATTCTGGAAGATGTACGTAATGATTTGGATCCTTTCCGTCCTCTGAATACTTCAATATCCTTCGAGTCCTCGGCTAATCTTTTCTTGGAAATTTCCTCGGAGATTTCACTACTCTCAGTTTCAGATGTTACACTGTTGTGTTTGGATCTCAAGGTATCATATGTGTAATGGACGCCATCAACAATGAGTTGCTTCCCCTTGATTTTGGCTGAATGGCCGCTTTCACGAGCAATTTTCTGCTGTGTCACCAGAAATTTATTTTTTTGATAATCTTCGGGTATCAAATCTAACGAAATGAATATACCACTTCCCTTCAATGCTTTTGCCTTATTCAGTATTTCAGTTTTCCATTTATTTGTTAACAACTCAACGACAATAGGTCTATTCTTATTTTCTTCTGACTTGCCTATCCTATAAGCATCTCTTATACCGAAATCATGCACCTCAACTTTGAGTTTATTCTTGAACAATGATGTAATTGATGAATGAGTATCTATTTCGTTTTCCTGTATCCCATACACTACCAGATTATATTTTTTCTGTTTTCTTTCAACTGCCTGGAGTCTCTTTTCTAACTTGTTTTTTTCCGCTTTCAGTTCTTCGTTCTCTCTCTTCAGATTGTTCAATTCGCCTGCTACTTCACTTTTGGAATCTTTAAATTCTTGTCTCAATCCATCCAATTGATCAACTATTACATTATTCTGATTTTTTATATCGTTAATGTCTTGAGTTAATTGTTTCAATAATTTAACCGTATCATCCATTTCTTGACTATCAGCTCCTCTACTATTGCAATACGCGGATAATTGGCAATGTAGAGATAGTTTTTTTTCTTTACTTCGTTTATTTCTTGTGAGATATCGATACTTTTTATATGGCTAATGAGAATATGCCATGAGCTGGTTTTATCAAAGTTACTCACTTGAAGATTCTATTTTTCAAATTTTGTGCTCACCTGGCTATCCTATGTATCTTAGCTAACATGTACATATAAATTACACAATTAACTTCACCCGAATGTTGGTTACAAATGAGTCGGAACGTCCAGAATAAGTAAATGTAGAAACTTCACTGAACTGAATTGATTCGGCCGTTACTATATGGAAATCTATAGCAAATTTAAAAACTCCACAAACGCTGAGATTTTTACAAAATTCTCGATCACACGACATGTTACCCGAACACAGTAGATTCCGTCAGGTGAAATAGGGGTACAATGAAATAAACTATACTTCACTTGCCTAAATTTATACAGGGTGAGTCATAACTATTGGGACATAGGCTAAGGGCGGAATGTTTGGACCTGAATATGGCGATTGAGCCAAACATGCCTTGATAAAATATTACTGTGAAAAGAGATACAGGGCGTTTAAATAATTTGTTTTCGTTTTTTGTCGGTTTTTTGCTAATAATTTCACTGTATATGAAATATATTCGATAATGTGTTGTGATTTGGTTGCTTGCTGTCTGGATATTAGAGATATTACAATTCATACCTTCTGATTGCATCCCGCATTTATTCACTCATAAAATGATTGTGACGAGACATTTCAATCGAAAAAATTATGACAATAATCTCGCACGAAAATTCATTCTCTGACAACAAATACCATTACCAGCAACATTATCTGACAGTTCAAAGCACACTCTTCATGAATGAAATAATATTTGTAATTAACTTCTGAGACTCCGAACTGTTCAATAGCGTTTTTCTCGAAAACGGATGAAAATATCGTGTTCAAACAGGAGTATCAATATTACGTAGAAATAATGTTAGGGTCATATTTTTCAATCAAAATCACTCAAAAGTCTCGTCAAAAAAAGTAACCAGCCGATTTCATCATCAGAAATCATTGACGTGACGCTCCCTGCATCAAACTGTAAAAAAGTACATCAAATAATATTCCCTGTATGAAATTATGCCTATGTGCCAATTTTGATAACAATTTATGAATATACAGCGAAAATATTGGCAGAAAACGGGAATAAAAAGTCAACTTCAACGCCCTGTATCTTTTTCCACAGTAATATTCTATGAAAGCATATTTAGTCCTATTGCCATATTTTGGTTCAAACAATCCGGCCTTAGCTTATGTCCCAATAGTTATGACTCACCCTGTATATATCCTGCCCTCATAACCTGAAGGATTAGAATTGGCTGTGGAAAGGTTCAATAAACCTCAATTTTCAGAAAAAAAAAGCACAATATCTACTTCAAAATACGGTGTAACGAATTAATTTGATGTAGATATTGTGCCTATCGCTCGAACCTTTCAACATGTAATTTTTATCCTTCAGGTTGAGAAAGTGAGATATTCATAAGTTTAGGCGAGCCAAGGTTAGCTCATTTCATTGTACCAGTATTTCACCTGATGAAGCTCCTAATGTGTTAGCGAAACATGTCGTGTGATTCCCAATTTTGTGGGATTTTCATCGTTTGTGAAGTCCTTACATTGCTATGGATTTCCGTCAAGTAACGGCCGAGTAGATTCAGAAGAAAAACAAGAGTTCAGAATAAGACTCTATTCATTCTTATCGAATACAAAAATAATAATACACATGAACACCTATACACTCATATATTATACAATCACTTTATGTTTTCATATTACAATTTCAAAAATTCTCTCAGTTCCTGAATTGTTTTCTTTTCAATTTCTTCGCCCTCACTGATCATCCTCTTAACTCTTTCTGGATTCTCTCGGACAAACTTCGCTATGGACATTAGTCCATCAAGAGGACAAGCTGGCAATGGTATTCTCATAACGATTTCATCCTGGTGAGGCTGTATTGTGGAAACTGATGAAGTGGTAAATGATTCCTGCTCTGTATTTTTGGCTGGTGTCAGCTCATATAACTCTTCGACCGGCTGCGGTATCTTATTCTCAATAATATCGACGAAGGATACAGGAGCCGGAGATGACTGACTCAGAGAATAGCGTCCAGTATCGTGTTGATTATACACTTTTTCATGATAAGTTTCATCATTGACATTCGCATCTTGCTCTATTTTCATTCCAGAGATACCAGCAGCAACTTGTTGATCCGGTGTGTCATTCATTGATTTCGTGGACTCATTCTTCAAATTCATTATTGGTTGGGGGATATCGATAGATTTGAAAAAGCTTCTACTAAAATGTCGTGAATGGATATTGGTAAACTGCCCAAATTTTGATGAAGCTATTTGTTCTTTATATACAGAAAAATGTTCATCATATATAGTGGGCTTCATTTGACTTGTAGCTGATGTATTATAATGACTCGTAGAATTCACTAAGCCATATACATTTTCTGTCATCTCGGCTGTGACAGGAGTCATGTTATCAAGTGAACAAATGGGTACGTTTGCCAGTTTTTTCTCATCAGAATTTGCAGTATTAGGAACAAATGAGCAGTTCTGATATGCACCCGATTCATTCTTCAGAAATTGATGGTAGGTTTCTTCGAATCTTTTTGCATTTGTAGGCTGGGGAGTTGACTGGTAACTATTATTACTCGACAAATGATCAATTTTGCTGATCTTCTTATCCTTCATCCGCCTATTTTGAAACCATATTTTCACTTGTCTCTCTGTTAATTTCAATGTAGAGGCCAGATTTATCTTCATCAGTTTGGTTAGATAAGCTCCTTCCATATATTGCTGCTCCAGTTTCAACAACTGGGTAGATGTGAATACTGTCCGGCGGTGCTTGTTCTCGCCTTGCGGGGATTTTGGTATCGGGAAATCTGTACCTGCAAATGTCATAAAAATATAAGGAATGACTTAGGAAATCTGGATCTCACTGAATATGAATCTTTCAAAAATATACGTCATTATGCGGTCAGTTGGATAGAAAAAATATGTGAATACAGACAAAAGATTAAAAAGATTCCTTTCTAGATTCCTAGATTCTAGGAGAAATTGTCAATGAACCAGAAAAATTAAAAAATACAATGTGCATTCAAATGATCGTATCAATCTTCGAACATATTCTCTTAGTCAATGCATATTCTTGATTTTCTGATATTTAAAAATGTTTCATACTTTATTATTGAAAGACCATCCCAACGTCCATTCGTTGCATAAATTATTCATGACTATTGTTCACGATAATGATGATGATAAATGCTTTCATTGGTAACCAAAGTCGAATAATAATGAATAATAATAAAACCACCTAACACTAGAACTAGCGCTTCTTCAAACTAGATTTGAGGGATATTTCATTCAAATTACCCGTCATATGGTTGAAGCTGATAATCCCATTTCATTGTGTTGAACCGTGACGTCATTTACGTTCAAGTTCACCTTCCCTACCTGCCCTAGGGTTCACCAACTCCATGGTAGTGGGTGAAGTGACAGAAATATGTTGACGTCATTATGAGGCAGTTGCCTCCCACCGCCTTCACCGAAATACTCTGACCGTTTGATCTAACTCATTTAATTGAGTTTCTCATGAAAAGCATTGTCTATCAAATTAACGTAGGTATTACCTGATGTAACACTATATGGTCAATATTGCATCTAGGTAACCGTGATCACACCTCAACTTATCTGAGGATATCAGATGATGTTGAAACATCACAAACTACAATCGCAAAGATAAATAGTTGGAATTTTTGACGAGTAACCATTTTCTCTGACATTCAACAGACAGGAAAGTTTCACTTCCTCTACCTAGTTCGTTGCTATGGAGTGATTTGAATGCAATCGGTGATCAAAATTGACACAGACATTGGGAAAACAAAAATTTCTATGGAAGAAATCACACAATATTAGTTCTTCAATGCACGGCTATGAACTATCAGCCGTGACAGTTTACCTACTACTTTGCTGCCTAGTAACAAAAATCTATTGATGACACTCAACTGGCAAAGATGGTGTATACTGCCTAGCCAGAAAGAGTTTGGTGCTATACAACGTCCCAAGTGATAATTAGAATCAAATTGCTAATCAAAATTGACTTGACTTGATTACTTTGGGTGAACACGAAATAATAGATGATTTGGACTCCGCGTGAAATTGAAACGAATTCAAAGAGCAATTATATGTTTCACATGGCAAAAATGAAGATGTATTGCCTTGGCTGATTTGCTAGCCTCGGATACGCCTCGGCTATAGAACGCTAGCAATGGCACCAAATTTGTGCATTTCTGACTATAGTGAAACAAATAATCAATTTGCCCGTTTCCATAACAACGAAATGGAGACCACTTATACGTCAAAATACTATATTTGCCAATGAGTTCAAGATATGGATATGACTCAATTATTACCAGGGAAAATACTGGAATAATGATTTAATCAATATTTTCAAGCGTGTCATGGATAAAAATCGTGATATTCTGATCTATTATTGTACCAGAACTCTGGAAATGTCATGATATACAAAGTATTCCATTCGAAAATTCAGAACTGGGGCAATTTCCGATAGGTGGAAAATATGTGAAAACTATTCTCTCCACATACCGTTCGCCTATTCTAAATATCATGTCGATACTCCTGATATTCCAGAAGTTGGCACCCGGTGAACGTTGGGCAAATCGATGTTAGATAAATTGATTCAACAAGTAATTCACTTGAGAGAGCGATGGTGTTGGCAAAACATCCCAGATAGCAGAGTGACGACCAATTGACATCATCTCTTGGTCACAAAATGACGAAGTGAACGTCCTGAAATGACGTCTGAGAGACTCTATAAAGACGGCAAAATTTCACAGCCATTAGATGTCATGTTTAAAAGTCATATTGACATCGCATAATGACTTATGAAGAACGATTTGACAATGATTCTGAGGTATTTATATGATGATACCCCAAACCTTTTTTCGAAGAAACCACCTATATGGAAAGCTGAATTCAAAAACATTGTTCAAATAGAGATTGTATACAGTGCGTTCGTTGAATTAAATGCTCTTGTAGGGTTGTGGATCAATTCGTTGAAAATTAAAGGAATAAATTTTTGAAGGAAAGCTCGTAGCCGTGTAATACCATTTCCATTCGAGCTCCATTCTGAATTCAATCAGATATATATACGCAGAATGATTCATTTCAAGAGAGCGCTGAATTCACACATGTCTGATATGATTTTGAATCCAGCTTCCCATAGAGATCAAGACAATTCAATAATATACATAGGGTGCTTCGTTTGAAAAATCTGTCACAGACGTCATAATTCGAAGGTGTCTCAGAAATGAATGCTCTGGATGACAATGAATTTATCCACTATACTCTACGAGAGCAATGAATTCATTGAACGCACTGTATACAATCAATATGGAGGAATATTCGACATTGGACCAAAAATAAGGTGAAATAGACGTCAATAAGGCGACTTTTCATGTCACTCTGCTACATGGGATAATATCGGGTTTTGTGGAAATATTATTGTTTGTGAAATTCTTCATATTCACTATGGATTTCCTTCCAGTTACGATTAAGTCAATTCAAAATTGATTCCTTTCAGATTTCCAATCATATTATTTTGTAGTTTCTAGCATATTTATAATTGTTCCGCAATACACATAAAATATATACTCACTCGAAAGTGTGAAAGGTCCTAAATGATTTTGGCAACCAGGTATGTAAAGTGAAGATTGATGCCGTTGCTGCTGCTGATTATGTTGCTGTCGCAGATGCTCAGCATAATCGAGATTACTGTATTTCATCTTCGAACTCTCATTATCATCCACCTGAAACTTTTGTGAAACTCAATTAGTTTATCTTCTTGGCACGAAACTCCAAACTCCGAACATTTGAAATATATTATAATCATAGTTGATTTCAGTGCTTGATCCATGATATTCTTCGTACAAATACTAAAATTAGGTACTTTCCCAATTTTTTTTATTAGTGAATTACTGTAATGAAAGTGAACACTTCTCCAAGGCGACTATAAGTTCTCGAAATATCATAATAGTTGCATTTTATCCGCCGATTCCGTCGCAACTTTTTCTGTTCCGGTTCCCACTTCAAGGAATGATGTGGAATGACTGTTGATAGTTGTCATGAAATAAAATCAGATTGAAGATAAACGAAACTTTTTTGAATGTGGAAGATATTTGGACGCCATTTTCATCGTGAGGCTCACAAGTTGATGACTGTTTCAAGTTAGACAAACTTCATATATCTTCATTGCAAGATGAACTCAATTCTCCCAATCTTGGAGAATTTATTCCAATCATTGTTTCAAATATGCGTTGATTATTTCCTCAATTTTCAACTCTAGTTAATCTTATGCAGAAGTCCATATTTTTTTTCTCTAGATGGAGTGTAGTGATGAGAGGGTTAGAAAACACAGAATCATTTCCACAACGTTCAATGATCGAAAGATTATTTAGAGGAACATGTTTCGGACAGTCATGTGTCCATCATCAGCCTCAATCTTCACAAACCAAAGGTTCATCAATATGATACAAGTTAATCATGAATAATGTTTTGAATAGTGAATAAATAGTAAACTATTTCAGTACATTTTGATTTCGTGTTTAATATCGATGAATTACATATCCTCAACTCTTCAGGAAAATAAAAACAATCGGATAGAATTTTCGACAAAATCGATGATTTCTCAAAATTCGTGAAAATTTGTATAATAGTATACAGTCTGTCCAAGATAAGGTTGAACAGCATGGGGATCTAGGAAACAGTAGGAGATACGAAATCGTTTAAATGGGGAAAAAGTTGCGCATTCGGAGGCTCATATCAAGAGCCTTCGAAAATTCTCAGAATCATTTCTAGTTTCAGAGTTATATCAAAAAAAGTTCATAACAAATGTTCAAAATGATAACCATCATTTTCTGAACAAATATATCCCAAGTAGCACACTCATATTGGGCCGATATTGGACCAATATAGATGAAAAATTGGCGCAATATCGAGAAATCAAATAGGCACAATATTGGATCCAAACATTCAACATGCTATTGTAGATCGATATTGATTCGATGTTTCATAAAAAGATTGTTAAATCATTCAACAAAATATCTGGAATAATATTGATTTATAATCATCCTACAATATTGATTTGTTGATATGAAAAAAACAATGAAGTGCGTTGATTGAGAATCATTCATCATCTCTATATATGTAACTGATGGCTCATCGATATTGACCAACAATATAGTAGGTTGAAAATGAGCAATATTCTTGGCATCACCACGTAGTGATATATTATAAATATTGACACCAAATATAGATCAATAATGAGAAATAATCTTGTTATTGCATTCATGACTGATGTTGAGACTAATTGAAAAAAAAATTTCGACACATATTCAAAAGAATGCTTCAAATTATATCAGTATCTTATATTCATACTATATAGTAACTCAGACATTGGGTAGGAATATGGACGGGTTATTTATTAACAATATCTCAAACATATCGCCAAGAAATATATATTCCGTATGAAATATCGGTATGCTTAGGTATTGATGGATGATATTCATGTTTCTATCAATCAAACGTTGATACAATATTTATCCATAATATTAACAGGAGATTCAAAACAAATATATACACATATTGAACAGTATGCTTGGAACAGAATCAATATGAAATATTCATAAAATATAGTTATGCGAATATTGGTTGAGAATATGTGGTGATCATTGAAAATTGATATTCAAGATATATTTAAGGAATTTATAAATATTATATCCAACATCAATATGCTGGGATGATAGATGATCATATATGGAATAATGTCGTATTCGAAAGTTTATGGAACAATGATATTCCAATGTGGGGAGTGAATTGAAAAAAAATATTGACAAATATCAAAAATAAAGCTCAGAGCTATATCGAAAACTTATATATAGACAATATAGTTGAATAGATATTGTGATATATCTACAAAAACATATATCTTTCATATTGAACATCAGTATAATGTGATATTGATGGATCCCATTGAATAATGTCATAACTGGAAGTTGATACGAGATAGATAATGAATGAAAGTAGTATATTGATTACAAATATTGACACATATTTAAAATAATGTCGGAAATTATATCGATGGCCAATATTATTACATATATGTATGTGGATATTGGCGAATAATATCTAGTAGCTATTGAGAAAGAAGTCTACAGAAATATCTACAAACAATTTCTATAACATATTGAACAGCGCCTTTTCAGGATATTGATAAATCATATTGATCATTCTCACACTTTGAAGTTGATACAACATTCATTTTCAATGCGCGAAAAATGTCGAAGTGAAATATACCTATATATTCAAAATATTGCCCTAAATTATATCTAAGGTAGATATTCACACAATATCATCATCCAGATATTGAATGAGGATATAGAGTGGTTATCCAGGAACAATCTCCACAATATATCTTCAAAAAATTGTTATTTTATATTGAACATTCACGATGATACGATATTAATGAATCATCACGATCAATCTCTCATTTATAAGTTGATACACCTTCGATTCTGAATGTAACGGATACATTGAAAACAAATATTGACACATATTCAAAATGATGCCAGAAACTATATCTATGGCATATATTTTTACAATATATATATACATATATGTAGATATTATCAGAAAATATCTAGTAGCATTTGAAAACGAATTTTCCAGAAACATCTACAAACAATATCTGCAACATATTGAACAGCACTTCACAAGAATATCGATAAATAATATTGATAGGGCATCATTACATTATATTGATTATTTTCACACTTCAAAGTTGATACAATATTTATTTCCAGTATTGGTAAAACGTTGAAGGGAAATTTACATTTATACAGTCTGTCCAAGATAAGGTTGAACAGCATGGGGATCTCGAAAACGGTAAGAGATACGAAATCGGTTAAATGGGGAAAAAGTTGCGCATTCGGAGGCTCATATCAAGAGCCTTCGAAAATTTTGAAAATTATCTTTAGTTTTTGAGTTATATCGAAAGAAGTGAATTTTTGGAATTTCTATTTTATTTTTTTTCTCCGTTATTATTGGAGATACAGCAAAACTGAGAATACTTTTTCATAGCAACTTTTGATGACGGTCAACGTGGTGATACCGATTTTTTCATGCGACGTTTCGTATTCGTGGAACCATCATCAACTTTTGTTTTTTAAATACTAATAAATACTAATACCTCATCAACTGGTTTCAATCAACAACCCATTTCATTTTGCGGAAACAAAAATTCCATCCATACAAATTCAGAATATGTCAAGCGCTAAAACCAGGAGATGACGAAAGGCGCAAGACATCTTGTGAGTGGTATACCAGGAAATGTTAAAATTTTGCAGATTTCTTTCGAACAATCATCTGGACTGATGAAAGCATGGTCACTAATCATGGTAGCTTCGATAGAAAAAATACACATTATTGTTCACGAGAAAATGAACATTTATACATTACAGCGAGACACCAACACCGTTTCGGCTTTAATATGTGGGTTGCAATATTTGGTACACGAATTATTGTTCCTTCTATTTACCATGAAACACAGACTTCCGAACGTTATAGAAATTCGCTTGAGAATCATCTTGAGGAAGCTCTGGATGATTTACCGATTGCGGAAGTTCAGAACTCTGTTGGTTTCAACAAGATGGCGCTCCGGTACATAATTCCAGACAAGTCCGTGCGTTTTTATCCCTTGGCCGGCGCAGTCGCCTGATTTAACACAGCTGGATTTTTCCTTAGGGGATATATCGAACTTTGAGGATGAAGAAGAACTAAGGGACAGTGTCTTCGAAGCATTCAATAGAATAACCCCAGAAATGCTTAGCAATGTCTTAGAAACAACTGTGAGAAGAGGATATCTTTGTTCAGAAAATAATGGTTATCATTTTGAACATTTGTTATGAATGTCTCTGTAGGTATTGTCAAAGTTAAGTTGTTAAAGTAATTCGTGTAAGAATTCATCAACAATTTTAAACGCTGCATTGATCGAATGATGTAGTGAAATATTTTTTATTCACTTTTCAGTATTGAATAACTAATCCATCAAGTTTGACACTAAATGATAAGAAATAAGTGGAACTGATGGCTTTTTTTCTTTTGGAAGTTCGAAAAAACATTGATGATGGATAGAAATAGGTCGAAACACATTCGAATCACCTTGTATAGTACATTGTTGAATTAAGAATAAAAAAACCTCACAGAATCTGTGAAAAAATTATCAGGACCGTATTTAAAAAACAAAAGTTGATGATGGTTCCACGAATACGAAACGTCGAATGAAAAATCGGTATCACCACGTTAAACCTCATCAAAAGTTGCAATCAAAAAGTATTTTCAGTTTTTCTGTATCTCTGATAATAACGGAGAAAAAAAAATAAAATAGAAATTCCAAAAATTCACTTTTTTCGATATAACTCAAAAACTAAAAACAATTTTCAAAATTTTCGAAGGCTCTTGATATGAGCCCCCGAATGCGCAACTTTTTCCCCATTCAAGCGACTTCGTATCTCCTACCGTTTCCGAGATCCCCATGCTGTTCAACCTTATCTTGGACAGACTGTATACACAATATCGTCAGAAATTATATCGAATGCTCATATCCATACAATATAAGTATTTAGATATTGAATGAGGATAAAGAGATCTATCTGCACAATATGTCTACAAAAAATCTATTCCATATTGACCATCACGATGATCAGATATTGAAGAATTATATCGACCAATCGCTCATTCATATGTTGATTCA